ACCGGGCGTGGGAGCGACAGGGCCCACAGGTCCCCCCCTGCCAGTCTCTGCGCCAACCGCGGCGGGGCCCTCGCTGAGCACACCTAGGAGAGGCTCCACGCCCTCGAGGCACGCCCTCCCGCCAGTGTGCTGCCCCCGGGCCGGCTTCATCGCTGCACTCCCTACAGCTGTGGCCTGGTCTCAGAGTGCCCACAGACACTCCGAGAAGCCACCCTGGGCCTCTGGCTCCTGAGCCCTGGGCCCTGCGACGACGCAGTCTCCTGACCCGGCGCAGCCCCGCGTGGGGCCCTGTGCCCAGCGCCCCCTCACGTGTGTGAGCCTCGCTGTGAGCCTACCTGGTGTTCTCCAGGGTCTTCTGCATCTTCTTGGTCATCTTGTCGATGGCCGCCTGCCTCTTCCCTTCAGCCAGGAGGTCTATCTTGTTCAGCACCACGACCAGCTTCTGGCACGCGATCTGACCGATGACGAGGCACTCGGCAGACTGGGTCTGCATCCCCTTGGTCACGTCGATGACCAGCAGCATCAGGTCGATGATCTGGGCCCCTGGGAGGGAGGCGGGGTCAGTAGGGATGCGGCGCTCGCCTGCTGACCCCGTGCAGGTGCGGCAGTGACTGGCCCCAGGTGCGTGCAGGGCGCTGGACCGGGGTGATCCGGGCAGCCGTGGAGCAGCCACGGAGAGGACACCGAGGCCTCAGCTCCCAGAGGCCTGCCCGGCCGCACGGCTCAGACTGCAGGGCCAGAGTGAGTGAGGGCAGGCCCGGCTCCAAACCGGTCTCACTGCACCGAGCCATCGGCACAGGGCGAGGCCCCACGGGAAGAGCCCAGGTCCTGCCCTTGCTAAGAACCAGAAGACCGAGTCTGAGCACGCAGAGGACACGCACGGAGTGTAGCCCGTGGTCAGGGGAAATGTGTGATTAGGAAGGGTGCAGTCCGTGCACGGGAACGATCCCGGAGGACTGCTGCGGGCAGTCTGGGCTGGCTCAGCGGCTCTTCGCTGAACGCTGTCCCTTTACCAGCGGCGAGTGTCTACCTGGAAATAAATGCAGGAAGTGCCCAAGTAAACAGCCGATGCAAGCTTGGCACGCGGCCCGGAGCCCACCATCCTCCGACCAGAACCAAACTCCACAGCGAGGCTCCTCGGTCCTCTCTGGCCGAACCGTTTCTCAGACATGCTGTGCTGTCCCGCACTCGGGTGGCCTGAGACCCCATCAGAGCACACGGCCCACCGTCTCTGCTGTCCCCCTGACCACGAGCACACCTGGCCGTGGCCCTGGGCCCGCAGTGGCTCATGGGCAAGGCAGATGGAGCGACAGGAGCGGGAGCAGGCGGGGCATGGCCGTGCCCGTCCACGTGGTGTCACCTGTGCAGCACAGGGCCCGGTGCCCGGCCAGGCGGGCCTCCGGCTCTGCGCGGAGCCCGGCCCTAGGGCGAGTGGTGTTCCTCCCGGGCACCCAAGGCCTACTCAAGACTAACTAACCACCAGGTTCCGCCTGCCTGGACCCCAACACAGAAGAGGACACCGGCGCGTTCAGAAGTGGGTGGGGGCCCACAGCTGCCCAGTGGCCAAGTGCCAGGCTCCCACCCCCTGCCACCCGGCATCCTTCCTAACCCGGACGCAGGCCGGCCCCACCTCCTCCCTAACCCCCCACTGTCCACAGTCAGTGGTCACCGGCGCCCGCCAGGGCCTCCCTGTGCTCTTGCCAGGACCTGTGGGTCTCCTGCCGCCTCCATCCCACCCCTAGACGTGCTCTCCTGCTGGTATGCATCCCAGGAGGGCTTGGGTGTGAGTGACCCCCTGTGCCCGAGCTTGACCCAGACCCAGCAGGCTCGGTGCACACGGGCCCGACAGGCTGGCCGGGGCTCGGCCGCCGCCCCGGCTGGCCGCC